AATTATTGCAAGAAGGTATTTGTCCTTGTTTTCTGACTCTTTGTGCTTTATCAGCTGCACCTTGACTCTTCTTAAGCACTTTTACTTCCAGGAATACAATCTTCACTGCAAACCTTTGCTTCTGCCTGCTCTGAACGACATTGCATGGATTTCTTGCAGGGAATACTTTGCTTTGATCTTTTTTGCCAGTTCTAATGCTTTTAAATTGATCTGTAGTTATTCCCTATAATAATTGTTTCAGTTCATGTGTCTCAGCTTTAATATAAGGGTGATTAAGTGCTCAGTGATCGTGCTTGGCAGCCACTTTCTAGTAAAGAACATTTTTACAGGACAACATTTTTGCAGGAGTCCAAGTGCTCTTAAAGTCTACAATGACTTTTGGAACATATATATCCTTCTTCATGTTCCCAGGGTCTGAAGCATAGCCCACCACTGTGCTGACCCCACCACAAATACCCATGTGAAACACTTCTGGGCTTTACCACTGTACTTGCTTTGCAGTGATTTTTCTTGTTCTGCTTTTCTTTGTTTCTAAACATTAAGGGAGTGGTTGTGTAACACGAGTGCTCATTTAGAGAGAACTATATGTCCTCTTTTTCCCAGCTTTTGATGGACCAAGATTGCTGAAGGTTATGGCCTTTTCACATGACATGAAAAACTCTACTGCCTTCTGTAACACTATTAAATACTATAGATGGAATATCGTAATGAACTGAATTATTGTTTTCTGACTTTGTCAGAGCATGTTTCTAGAGTTGTAGTTAATACTTTACTTTAGACATAAATATTTGTAAGTTGCAAATGGGAATTGAATTTACTCAGCTTTTAGAAGGCACAGAGGTATAAATTAGAGACAAAAATGATTCTTATTTTTCTTGCCTTTTTTTATGAAAAGGGCTTCATCTTTCAAAAACAGAGAGAAACACACTTTAAAGGTGTTCTGTCTTTAAAGATTTGAGAAAATATAAAATTATTTTACTTTAAATTATAAATTGGAAACACATTTAAATAAAATATATATTTAAGCAAATCATAAATATATTTATGCAGAGCTATGCTAAATGTATAATGGTATTGATATGCATAAATATTTTTTAAAAAAACATTTTGTATTTATAATCATTCTAAGGCAGATCTCACTGGATTCACATTGACTCTATAGTCTTTGCAGAGAAATAATTTTTCCAAAAGCTGCATATCTTTTTGTAAACATTTTCGAACACCATCAAAGGAAAAAGCTACACAGTCTAACTTTGATACAAGTCTTCACTTTTTTTTTTTTTCCTCCTCAGATGAGGCTACTGATACCCTCTGTTGATAAACCCTTTTTTCAAACATGTCCAATGGAAATTAAAAGAGACACTTATTTCAATATAGGTTTATGAGAGCGTGATAGGTCAAGACAAATAGATGTTAACAAGAAATAATATTGGATTAATGTTACCTGTTCTCATAGATGAGTTCCATGCTTGCCTCTCAGCAATCAAGAAAAATTAATCACCACTTATACATTCTAGACATCTTCTTGTTCTTTTCAAAGGAAGCATTTGTTGTTATTGAATTTTTTCACTGGTGCTGAATACTTCCCTCTGTGAAGACTGTACAGTTTAAGTACAGCAATAAGCAGTTGCACCTGCTGCTTTGCCAAAATTCTTTATTACCTTTATTATTGGACTCAAGGACAACAGGGGGCTTTTGTGGGGCTTCTATCTATCATCCTTCTCCACAGCCAGATGATCTTCTCCATGTAAGGTAGCAAATCCTTCCCCATACCCTGCTGCACTCAGGAGATGGTCAGAGGTGTTGGAGTTGGCTATGCATGTACTCTTGACTCAGAGACATGGGAGGTTCACAGGTTGTAGCAAATCAGAAGGAAGAGGGAAGCTACATCCCAAAGAACAAATACAGGTTTCAGTCTTGTTATGGAAAGCAAAACAGAAACTCAGAGCCCACTTCAGCAATGAAGGAGACCACTGAGAGGGGATCTTGTCTATCATTGCATTCAAATATCTTAAGGAAAGGTGTAAAGAGGATGTGGCCAGACTGTTTTCAGTGGTGCCCACTGACAGGACAAGGGCAACAGGCACAAACTGAAAGACAGGAAGTTCCATCTGAAGCTGAGGAAAACATTACTGTGAGGATAGCAGAGCACTGTAACAGGCTGCCCAGAGAGGTGTGGAGTCTCCCTCTCTGGAGATATGCAAGAACTCACACGCACACATCCTGTGCAAGCTGCTCTAGGTGGGCCCGCTCTAGCAGGGGGCACTGGGCTGGGTGGCACTAGAGGTTCCTTCCTTTGCCATTCTGTGATCCTGTGTGCAGCTGATGGAATGCTGGAACACACATTATTTTCTTAAGAGGCCATTAGATGGTTACTGCTGTGCTTCAAGGCCACCTCTTTGTTGTATGTTCATATGGCTCTCAGCACAGCAAAGTCCCATAACAGGAGCCTGTGGATGTACAGGCTGCTGTGATGGACGGGTAATTATTCTCTTAATGGCAAGTGCCTGAATTGTCCCATTGGCCTTCCTCTGAGTAAATACACAGATAATGTGCTGCTCCAGCCTTTCAGAGGCATGGTATCAAGCATGGCAATTAGCACTTGAGAAAGAATTCCAAAATGTCCAAGAGGAAAAAGGAGCATGTTAAAGGAGACACATGGGCCAATTAAAAGAGCAGATAAAGATCGTGTCTTGTTAGTTTTTACAAGCTTCATGTAAGAGCAGGCATGATGACCACAGAGCACAGTATTGTGAAATACTGACACATATGTAAATGTTTCCTAACAAGAGCTCAAAAACCCAGCACTGGCTGATGTTTAGAGGAATCCTCAGATAATCTTCATATTTTACTTTTCAGTAGCTGACTGGAAATCTCAAATCCATCTTTTTGGTGAACATCTGGATTTACAAAAGCAAACTTTTCCACTTTCTTGGGAACTTTCTGGTTAGGCAAACCTTCAGATCCATCAGGTATGGATATGTCTAGCACTTTGACTAGTTTTGCCCTCTGTGAAATTCTATCTCCTATTCTACCTTCAGCTTTCTATAAGCTTTATAAAACATATGTTCTCTTCAATGGAAAAAAAAGGGATTCCAGTTCTCTTTCACAACTTTTTCACTTCTGCAATCATTTTGTCCCAGATTCCTGCACCTCACCTTCCAATTTATGGCCTGTTGTTAAGAGTCACAGAGGAGCCTATTCACCTATTTTCAATACTGATGCAAAGCTTGCTTTCCCCACTTTTTTAAAACCTTCCTTCTTTCCACATCAGATTCAGGTTTCTTGCTTCTGTCTTTGAGGTCATATAATTCTATCCTGTGGCCAACCTGCTTTTATTTTTTTTCTCCATTTCCCACTTTTTCTCTTTCTTAGCCTCCTTCCAAACTTCTCTTCGGCTTGTTCATGTTATTTCCTCATGTGGTTCAAATTATTTAAAATTCAGATGGATAGGAATTTTGTCTTCCTACAGTTGTAAACTGCTATTTACAGATGGAGATATATTTATAATACTCTTATGTATGTAATATATATTTTATATATATAATATTACATATATTATATAAATATATAATGCTATTTTATGGAGTGTATTTATTAATACTGTTACCTATTCATCACCTGCATAACCAAAGTTTTCTGTATTAGCAATATCAGTAAGTTTTTTCCTCTTCCAAGCAGCAAATAGATATAGATCATGAAAAAATTTTTTGTTCTACAAGCCTCGCATATTTTAACTTCTGAATTTGTCCTAAAGTGACACCCTACATTTTGATATCAGCTTTGCCAAGTTGAAACTGTAATTGCACTCATACACAACCTGAATCAAGTTTCACCTGTCATGAATATTTTTATGTTCTAAAGTCATCCAAAGAATATTACTTTTCTGAGCAACCCAGCCACAGGTATCTTTCAAGTGATCCTTAATTGCTATTCAAGTGAAAAAAAAAATCCCAGTTCCTTTTTTACAGTAGCTGTCTAATGTCAATGCATTATATTTAAAATGGAGATGGGTATGGGAAACAGCTACTTCTGTATAAAAAGACAGTAATTTTTTTGTTTGAAATGGCTGGTTTTAAAAGTTTTTCCCAAGCTCAAGCCAGTCTCTCAGAGAAAACTGAATATGTAGACATTTTCAGTTAACAACATTTGTTTACCTTTCTATATATGTGCATAAACAGGCAAGTTGGAGGTGAGCTTACAGTGTGCCTGCAAGCATTCTTCTGAAAAGTATGGACCCAGTCTGGGATTGCCTAACAACAAGAGAAGTAGTCTTGCAGCTAAAATGACATCCCTAGCATTTTACTAGCTGTCTTTCTAAATCTATATTTGGTTAGTACCTATGCCCTCTTGAAACTGGCAGGGAGTTTTTTGAGTGGGCATAATGCCACCCCAACAGATGGTCACAGGCAAAGGCATGCCAGAGAACCAGTATGTGCCTCATATTTGAGTATTAAGCGATGGATTTCCATCCAAGAATGTCAAAATAGCAGTCAATGCAGAACATCTAAGCCTATGGCAAGGGGGATATGTTGACGATTCCTTCTCAGAGCTGCATTACCTTTCAAAATCATGATTAAAAAAAAAAAAAAAAGAGAGAAACAACCTTCTCCAGCTGTGATATTTTGGCACAAACAAATGAGGAGTAGAAGGAAAGAGAAGTATTTAATGAAATATTTTAACAGCTTACTAAACAGTAAACACCTGAAAAGGCTCTAGAATAAAAACAGCTTTCTGAGGCATGGCTCAGTTTCCAGGGAATGGTCTGACTGATGTCAGAAGCTGAACCTGCAGATCACCCATCAGGGAAGCCCATGCCTGATTTTGGTTAAGCAGCCCAATCCTATCCAGGGTATGTCACACATCATGCCAATTTAAATTGGTACAAACTGGTGAATAACATTGTGTTTGTGCCAAGAAGGTTCTGTTCATTTCTTATACTGATCTATAATGGAAGTAAAGGCCTGAAAGGAAAGAAAAGAAAGGAATATATTGAGTAGTTTCAGCTGGATCAGGGTTAACATTTATTTCACGAAATCATAGAACGCATTGAGCAGGAATGGATCAATGGGAATCATTGAGTCTGCTCCTGGCTCTGCACAGGACAGCCCCAGGACTCACACCATGTGCCTGAGAGCATGGTCCAAGCTGTCCAAGGCTCTTCTCTTGAACTCTCTCAGGCTTCTTGCTGTGACCACCTCCCTGGGTTCATTCAGTGATTGATCATGCTCTGTGTGAAGAACATTTTTCCAGTGCTAATAAACAAATTGTATGGTTGTAAGGATTATATTGTAAAGGTAAAATCTTATGCTCTTTTGGGAGAGAAATACTAGGAAAGTTTGAAATAAATTCAAAAAAATAACTTTTTTTTTAAGTCCTAGAAGAAGAATATTTAAATTCAAGTCAAATGTGTGGGTAAGAGGATTACCAATATAAGTACCAATATAAGAAGCTGACATTACCTTACTAGAGAGACCTTAAGTCACTGGGGAAGGGTAAACAATGTTTATCCTCTCGAGTTATCAACCTTACATCTTCCCTGGCCCATTTTGCCTGGTATCTCTTCTTAGTCTACATCTGCACAGAAATGTCATACTGATCTATTTATTTCAATCCAGTTGTGGCAGCACAACTCTAACAAACCGATCATTTCACTTTGCTCCCTAATTTGATCTAATTTCCTTGTTAATCATAGTGTCAATGAAGCTTTGTGATAAAGCTTCTTAAATGCAAGTCCTTTCCTAAAAAAACAGCAGTAATACTATTTGGTTCTCACAAAAATCACTGTTTTGATTTTTCTTGTCTTTAGCTGTACTGTAGGTACCTAAAATTATGCAAAATCTGAGGTAGAAACTTAGATTAACCAACTTCCTGGTTGCCATTATTTTTGCCAATATAATTTCTGAACCCCTGAATTGTAGTGAAAAATAAAACTTCTGAATCTCATCATTGCCATAATCATTGTTAAGACCTGGGTAAAGCATTTAGGGCTTCTGAGAGTGTATTTTTTTTTTTTTTATAACAAAAAGCAGAGGTTAAGTGTCGCTTTTTCAGCAGTTGCCTAAACAATTAAATAAGAACAGTATTCAGTGTTTTAAACTTAGGAGGAATATGAGGGGAAAGACAAAAGACCACTTGGAAGCTTCTATCTTTAATATGTCTTTCTCACATTATCCACAAGGTCAATGTTTGGGGCTGATACTAAAATAAACATCCCATGGGATAATTCTGTAAGATGTGCTGTCTGTGCCATGCAGGTTAAAATAAAATATACAGTAGGTTTTATCCCATGCACAAAAAAGCACTTCAAACCAACAGTTTATATAAGTTTCTTCTCCCTTCAGAGAAGCATAGCATTTTTCACCTTTTCCAGGTTTACTGGAAAAGTACCTCTTCACAAATCTGCTTTCACAGTTGTCTGCAAACATGGACACCTAATCTTCTAAAAAAGCCTTTCAGCTGCTTTCCTTCCATACATCTTTCTCTCCCCTACAGTTCATGATGTTTTAGATGCTCTCTACATGATAATGCTTCTCTTGCACTGGCTGAGATATGGCAATGGAAAATGGCAATGTGAAAACAAGCACCCCTCCTAACTCCTGTTCCTCAGGAATACATGCATTGCAGGTTTGAGATGCATTTAGAGATATAGATGAAAGCCATTAATACAGGTACTTTTCATGGAATGGAGTGTTTCATGGAAACACCTCATCCCAGAAGACACTTCTAGCCAGGGTGCAATGAGATTTTCCTGCCACACTGAGCTGTGTCCGTGTTAGCCAGGTTACACCAACAGCTGCAGATTTCACACATCTCTCTTTTGTCCTTTTATAGTTTTCCTTTCTTTAGACTCCACATGTGGCAATTTCCATATTAATTTTCCCAGGATAGATTAAGCACTTGGGAAATTCTGTTGATTTTAGTTAGATTAAATAGTCAGGAAGCATCAAGGCAGTAACTGCATACATAGATGTGTAAGTTGTCTTTCTGCAGGGAGATATTTGTTGCCAAGAAGACATAAAAAGATTCAAACAAGGCTTTCAGCTCTCCCCAAAATAGTCTGGATGCTTAACAGAACTAGTTTTCCTTGCAGTTTTACTGTGAAATAACACATAAAAAATGTTCAAAGGTTTCCTTTGCAGCAGTTTTTAGAGATACTGGAATTTTCATATTCACACTATATGAAAAACAGAGACTAGGTAGCCTTGTCCAGTGGCTTCCTGTTGAAGACAAAGGTGAGAACTGTTGTGTTATAAATGTAATAAAGAAGGGAACAAAAGAAGATGACTAAGAAGCCATGGGAACTGAGCTGCAAGAAGTGTATTCTGGGTTGTGTGTTTTGCATGCATTGCCTGTATGCAATATTTCTGCATCTTTGTAGCTGCTGGGGATGTGGTTTTCAACTGTTGTGATAAATTCTCTCCTGTTAGCTCCCCATATTGAATAAACAACTCTGAGAAAGCTGAGGGCAGCTTTTTGAAGCTAGGCATTCCACACAGGGTGCTGACTACAGTCCTGTGTCCATATCACAGCACTCTGCTTTGCAGATGGCAGCATCTGCTAAAAAAGTCTCCATTTCCTCATAACAGGAATGTTGTTAGAGCTCCTGGTCTTTTCTAATATTCATTTTGTCTTTCTTTCCCCTCATCACAAGCTGTTCCTAAATCCAGGGATACTTCCATAACTAAATTTCCTTTAATATACCAGCATCCACAGCCTACAGACTCTGGCTCAGATAGGGCTGAATGAACAATTCTCAGAGGTCTGGGACTTTCAAAATACGCTAAGTCAACGTGCATAGGAATTCTTTAATGCATTATATTAAAAAAAAAAAAAATGTTTTCTGGGAAGTAGGGGATGTAGTTGGCAGCTGTACATTATCTGTGAGTCCCGAGTTTCTTTTTTTTTCACCAGTTAGTATGTTGTGCTTTTCTTTCCCCCACCCCACCCCCATCTCTACACAAAACTGAGAATTTTGCTATAAAAAGACCCTTGAAAGAGCAAATTTTGAAGGTTCAAGATCTGGTATTTGCCTTCTGAAGCTCTTCCTAGAGATCTGAGTTTTGATAAGGACATTGTCATCAAATCAGGTACCACTCTTCATTTTTCCATTGTCCTGATGTGGAGTAAACAAGTACTAATCCAGAGAAGTACCTCTTTCTGAAAGATACACTGAGCTGCAAAAAGGTAATTTCAGAATGTGTGTTAATGCTCCTGAGGAGGTCAGGAGGCTAGGGAATGGGGTAACTTTGTAAATGTAAGTGCTATTTTAATGGTGGTTAGTTTTCCCATAAAGACTAATTGGGTCTAATATCATAGAAACACACATCTGGATACCTTACTTTCACATGTTAAGTGTTAGGAAGTAACACAAGTTAGTTAGGAACCTAACTCCTACTGCAGAGCTCCAGTTTTACAATAATACATCTCCAGTAATTTTTCTAGCACTTGATAACACCCTTGACTAAGACAGGTGCAGAACAGATCCAGAATATGTGTTGTTTATTATCCAGAAGGGACTGAAAATGTCAGTGTATATATCCTTGAGGGGAGTGGGGCTGTGTAAATATTTGAATAGTTTTCGTAACATTTTCCCAGATCTGTTTTTCACCTTTCGGGGTTTTCTTATTTGAGCAAACATTCACAAAACAGCAAACTGCCTGGAATCCCTGCAAAGTCAAAAGATCAGTTATAATGATTTAACTTGAGAGCTGACCTCCCTTCACTAGAAATTATCCACCTTTTGGATGCAGACTATGCAAAAGTCAAATTCATTTGCAATTTTAGACAAATGCCAGTATTCTTGAGAGTTTTGAAACTTAATCTAAACAAATACTTGCCTGAAAAATAAGCTTTTTCACTGATCAGACTGTTTATGTGATTGCCCTACTCCTATATTGCGCCTACTAACATTTTTTTTCACTACAAAAATAAAGAAAAGCATTGTATCCACCCTTTATTAGTAGAAAAAAAAATATAAACACAGTTGTGCATCTCTATTGGCTACATTTTTTTTCCCCAAGACTTTTTGTTTGCTAATTTCTGATCTATTTATAATGTAACCTATTCACAGCACAGAATCATAATATTTAAATCCTGATAAGTGAAAAAAAAAAATAAAAAAATCACTTCTAAAGACTTAAAGTACCAGCGAGCTTGAGGATGAGGAAAACAGTATGGGACCAGTGATTTAAGGGATAAGAGAGTTTTTATGGATTAAAATGTAGTGTACATTTTGTTTCCAGCATTATATGCCGCTTGCCAGAACTGTTTGGTGCTGTGAATTAGTTTGGAATTTTAATTTCATGAATAATTCACAATGACTGCAGTGATTCCAGAAAGTCATAACACCTTATCATACATTCTCATCAGTGCTCCACACTGAAGGGAATATCCTTGTGTTTCTAGAAAGTGTTGTGATGTTTTGGAGAGTAAGTGCAGTTCAGCTAAACATTAATAATGATTCCTGGGTGCTTACGTGCATTTTCTTCCTTCTAATCTTCTGCATAACCCACAGGTAACATTTTTTAACCATGACACCCAGTCTGAAGCTACAATGTGGCCTGTAGCCAGGATTTTGTCACTTGTCGTATATTTCAATGGCATTTCCTCAATTTTTGTGAGTTATTGGAATTTTGCCTTCAGGGCACCAAATAGTCAGGTGGTAGCTTAAAGTAGATTTTGCAGATCCCAACTGAAACTGAACTGAACTTCAAAAAATACTGCTGTCACCTTTCTTTGCAGGCACCAACAGAGAATAATTGACCTAATAAGAAGGCAGCATAAATCAGGAGAGAAAATAATCCTTAAGTGGAAGTTTCATCACTCACATGGCCAACATTTTCTCTCTGACAATAATAGCTTGACTTGGTAAGGGACAAGTCTTCAAATACTCAAACAACATTTCTAAGCTTTCTTTTGTGAGATACAGAAAATCCGTGCTCTTCCCAAGCAGCAGAAGATAAGGGTAGTGCAGGACACCATCAGAGAGCATATGTGAAATGCTAACTTGCTAAATGCAGTCACAAATCAGAAAGAGAACCATAAAAATGTGTACCTCTCCCTGCCCCCAGCAGTTATTTGTACCATACCTTGGACAACTCCCAGAGCAGGGAAGCAGAACCCTACTAGCTTAGAGCAGCTCCCAAACTGATGGCTTCAGGGAGCACAGATGGGGCTTATCCTCATGTGTTGTGACAGATCAGTTCCCCACCACAGACTGCTAAGTTCACAGTAGGTCTCAGGAGCCTGCAAGTGAGAGAGTCAGCTTTCAGCCTTCAAAGGAAGATTTGTTTCCAGCTGCACAGAGGAAGAAACACGAATCTGTCCTGCCACAGTACCTGCAAATTAGGGTCAATTGGAAAAGTACAGAGGCCAGATTATCTGCATTTTGCTGAATCATGTACAACTCAGCAAAAGAAAGCTAAAATGCAACTAAATTGGAATGGAAGCATTTCAGGCTTTTTTTGAGCTGGTGCCAAAACAAAGTTAAAAAAATAAAAGTTTTAGTCCAAAATATTTAGCTAAATACCTGAAATCATTAATACAGAGTCTCAGAACTTCTTATTTATTCTTTACTCACTGTTATGCATAGCCTTTTGACTGTTTTCCATAAAGTCCCCTGTGTTCAGTGGTCATTGAAGGGCTAAAACAGTTTTCAAGTGGAATGATGTAAACAGGATAAAATAGGGAAAGTTAGTGGAATTAAATTATTTGCTATCAATGGCTATGAATAAATTAGGTGCTATTTGGAGCAGTAAATACCATACTGGTGTGTAAATATTAGTAAGTTTCAGAGTCCATGTAAATTATTCAATGAATAATCAAGACTTGGATCATGTTTATAGTCAAATCAGACACAGATTTGCTTAAGAAATTCAGAAACCCTAGAAAAAATCTTCCTATAGGACTGCCAAACTGTTTATTTGAACTAACAAAATTGACTCAAACAAGCAGATAATTGAAGTATAATTTCTTTGAAAATAAAGGATTAGAAACTTGAGCACCCAGATGTGGTTTCAGGGGAAACAAAGAGACAGAACCTGGTTTGATAGACAGGGAAGGGAGTGCCTCTCTGTTCCAGACTCTAAGAAGTTAAATAAGCCCCTAGAACAGCATTTGCAGCAGGTTTTCTCTGTGTCTAAGACAATGATAAGGATGAGAAAAACACATTTCCCTGGTAGAGTTCCACTTAGAACACAGCATTCTGTACTTGTCTATTCAGATTAAACAAGACATTGGAGGATTTGAAAAGTATAGAGGGCAAGTGCAGCAAGCTATGAAGAGAGAATTGTACAAAAAAACCAAGTAAACATGTGTCTTAAAGGTTCAGGGAAAATAGACAACATCTTGAACATGTGTACAATAAATCTGATGGGTGCAATGATACAGCTCCTGTAGCCACGTGCAAACCATACCCATCCATAACAGTGCAAAACATGTCCATCCCTACAGTGTTCTTTAAATATTAGAACAGAAACTGAATACTAATTAAGTCTAAGGTTGCCAAAATACCCATTACAAGATAATGTTTAGAGTTAATTACTAAATGAGTCATTCAGATATAGAGTAAAATGACTTTTATTTTTCAGATATACATTATACATTTGTCCCATGAAAGTACTGGGGCACATTTTTGCTGAGGATTTGATAGTTTCCAAGAACAAAATCATGGAAGCACATACTTTTTCTTACTTAGAAAATATTTTTAAAGTCATTTTATTGTCAATCTCTAGTCTTTTCCATTCACTTCAGAGTGAAGGCTTGAAACAGTTTTGAGTTGTTCTGCTCTTTCTATCCCCAAGAAAACTTTCAGTGGCAAAAAGAAAATACTAGGAAATCTTGATTTTTATGAGGACTGCACTGAGCTGACAAGGATTCTGATCTGAGCAGCTTTGGATGTGCTGAACAGTCCATTTGAGTTTTTCACCACAGGTCCTCCACAGGATCAAACTTTTTCACAAGGCAATGTTACCTCTGAGCTCATGTGAGACTTCCACCCACAAGTGTTTCAGCTGCAAGAGGCAGCCCCTGCCACAGAGTGAGCTCCTGTTCCTTCCACGAGCGTGGGGGAACATGGGGCCAATGAGAGGCAGATGGGCAGCAAGAGGCAGTCTCAGACCAGGGAAGATCTGCACCTGGAGATGTGAGCCAGAGCTGGGGAGAGAGGCAGGGAGGAAGAGTGGAAGAAGGAAAGTGAGGTGGAGAATGGGAGCCATGTTAAAGGATCATTGGATAGGAGAGCAGAGACAGAGAGGGAGCATTGCCTATAGACTGCTCATCTTCAAAATGAGAAGCTGAGCCCAGAGGACGTGTCTGTGCAGTGGATGGCCAAGAACACTGCCCCACTCCATGCTGGTCTAACCAGCTGCCTAAACAGCCATTGAGGTCTCACAGCTGCTGCAGGCTCTTTTATTAAATGATACAACCTAGAAAGCCAGCAGCCTGGACCCAGCTTTATAGAACCCAGATCAGAATCCAGTATTATTCTGGAAAAGGGTCTTTTCCCTGTGGGTATTTTATCTGCTTATATTTAGGTTTTAAAAATACCCAACCAACCCAAATATTAGACTTTTTAAAGAATATTAATTTTGCAAAGTCTATTCAAAGTTTGAGAAAGACCAGAATATTACTTTTGCAGTCAGACTTTTTGCAGTATCTTAAATTACAGGATAACATATAATCTTCTACAGAGCCCTTGTCACAGTCAGGATGGACATGATATGGACATGGACAGAGCTGGGCCCTGTGGGGATTGAGTTATGATGCCATTAGTGTCTGAGTGTGGATTCAGGCTACCCTGCTTGCAAAGCAAAGGACATGCATTCAAAACACTGGCTCTGGGACCTTAGAAATCCTCAGTGGTGAAGGCTAAAGGGTGAAGATTAAGCCAGCAATGTATACTAGAAACCTGTTATTACTTAACAGCAAGCATTTCCATATTTGAATTCAATTAACAGTGTATGTTTCAGTTTTATCTACATGCTGTCTTCCTGGCCATCATTAACTAGCTCATTTCCAGAACCACACCAGCAGCAGTTCCTGTGCAGAATTTTTAAGAGGATATCCCGTTATACAAAGTAGCAAATTTCATTAAGTCACTAATCAAGAGGACCTCTATCCAAATTGCTCATTTCTCTTAAATGAACTATTTTACCTAACTCATCCAGAAACCTTTACCCAAGATATGTGTGTATAAAATATATTTTCTTTTCATTTGAAATGGAATACTGGACTCCAAGAGTTAAGTTCAAGTTTTAGTTATATTTTTTTAAATTAAAAATAAAAAATCACAGATTAGAAGACTCTGCAAGAACAGAGAAATTAATTTTGCTTTTCTATCCCTTTCTCTCCACCCAGCTCTATTCACAGCTACAGCTGGTATGGAGCCCAAATAAAAGTTGCTGCAGAGAAATGTATCCATTTTAATGGAGTAGCTTGTGTGATTTCCCATAAATGCTTTAAAATGACAGTCACAGCTTGGAAGCTATCATGATCTTTTTCCCTGGAGAGCAATATGTGAACCATACTTGGTGTTTAACCTTTTCTGAGAGGGCAAATGAAGAAGGAGTCAGGCATCATCAAGAACTAGAGGGGGAAACTATATAATCAAACACGTTTTTTCCAAAATGTCATTCAAATGGTTTGTTCTGGTCCTTTTGTTTGTTTTCATGGGGGAGGGATGGGGCAGTCAGAGAGATGGACACACATTGTAAAAGCACTTCATGACAGATCAAAGCAACCAAAGCTTTTCCACATTAATTTTCACATTGCTCAGATTTTTAACTCACTCGACTGAACCAGAGACCTTTTGGAGGTTTTCCCCCAGGCAGGGCAAACTGAGGATATCAATATTGTACACTCACATGCCCTCCACCTGCCTGTGTCCAGGGTGCCACAGCACACTGGGGATCTGCTCGTGGGTTTGGCCTGGCAACCGTGGAATCTTCAGCAGTCCTTGCAACTGATCTTGGTGCATGCAAGATGCAACCATTCCTAAGTATGCAAAATACCTGTGGACATCTCTAAATCTGAAAGAAAGAGCTAAGCCTCTGAAAAAGTGATCCTAGATTCATTTGTAGTACAATATAGGATATTTCATTAATGCTAGTCTGTCTTTAATGTTGAAGAGCACACGCAAGCCTCTAATGAGAATATAGACCCTTTATTAACTTACTAGGGAGCATGAGCCTTTGCATCTGGAATAAAGTGTTGCTGCAGCAGCCAGATGCATAGGAAAGACATTTGCTGTATAATGGCCACAGCAAGTGCATTTTACCCTCTCAAAAAAAATCAGAGGAATTGCTGTACATTTAGTATGTTACAAATACCTATCTCACAACTAATTTGACATTAAAATCGTTCCAGTCTTTGTACAAGGGGGGATTTTTTTTTTTTCTTAAGTGCTAGGGAAGTAAATGAGAACATAATTACATTGTCAAAGTCAATAATAGCAAGCAGCCTCTGTCAGGTCTTGCTGTGCTCAGCACTGTTTCACAGGAACTGCTGGGGAGTTCTTCCGCCACCAATCCATTTGGCTCCATTTAAGAACTGACTACAGGAAGGTAGTTATAGTACAAGATTAGTTTCCTGTATGCTGAAAACTGGCAGTAGCAGAAAAATACAGGATGAATTTATTAGCTTGCAAGGTCAGCTAATAAAAACAAAAATGATGTAACTCAGACCGTTGTTTACTTTAAGTCGCATGGCCTATTAGGCTTCATTCAAAATTCAAGCTAGTTAACTCCTGCATTTCCAGTCTGCAAAATTGCCATAACAAATAAATAATAATTTAAAAATAATAAATAAATAAAAAAATCTGGATGTTCATTTTCAAGGAAATTTTAGGACTACTATGCCCTGCTCTTAAAAACCAAAACTTCTGTACTAGATATTTTAACCTTGATACAACAAGTAACTGTACCAGTTATATTTTGTCACTTTCACAGAAAAAATATGATGATAAAAATGATCCTAGAATATTTAATTTGTGCAATGAGCACTAACATCAAATTTTAAACTTGGGAGAGTCTGTTGCTAAATGAGATTGAACTTGTGGTCTAAACACCATTTTTAATTGAAAGTCAAAGAAAAATAACATCATTTTCAAACAAACTACAGTGTTTGAAGATGATAATAGCATTGTGATGTCCCTCAGAAACAATATATGATGCAAATTTAATTTATTGATGCCTCTTCTTGCCATAGACTGTGAAGGGACTATGACAAAATGATAACATTGTTTTAAAAATTAGTAGCTTTGTGCTTCAAACACCAGATAATTTGGGTCAGTCTTGAGTTTCTTCTGGAGTCTGAACAAGCATAGACACTCACACGACTGAAAAACTGGATAAAAAGAGGGATTTTGAACTTTGTTGAAGTACCTGTACAACAACCAGATTAGCAGTTAGAAATTCTGAGTACTTAAATTATTTAACTGGATTTTTTTAAAGTTCCTAAGTAAGTTACAGGCACAGTACCCAGCTTACTTTGAAGTACTTTGAAGTAGGAGGCATCCATTCACATCCTTCTTTTCCTAGGGAAATGCCTTAGGCTGAAGCCTTTAGGACATTAAGAGGGGCACGCCTTGGCAGCTCCAGCAGCCCGACTGTGCTCCTTGCCCAGGCCTTGCTTCACCTGCTCCTTGGACAGCAGGACACTGGCATCTTAAACTTCCCATTCAGCCAAGGAAGGATCAGCAAGGGCTTCTGAGGAACACCAAAGAGAGATTCAGACTCTCCTTGTTAACCACCAGCTTCTTGCTACTGGTGGTAAGATGGAACAATGGGACTTTTGAGTCCTCCTCAGAGATTAGCACTTAGATCTGCTCCCTTTAAATAAGTAGGCCAGTGTCTCTGCCTCATCCATAGTGCAGGTACATATCTTTCTGCATGTCTTTCATGCACGCATAAAAAGATAAGTGGTTAGAGTTTTGACAGGAAGAATTTTTTTTTTTTTTCACTAAGAATTGATGTAATACCCAATACGTAAAGTTATTTAATACATGTATATTTAATACACAGTTTAAATATACATGCAGTGGAGAGGTAGAATCAGGATCATCAAAACAATTGACTACAAACTCAACATCTGATAACAATTGTTAAGAGATGCTGGTTTGCGGTGACCAACTTTGCAATGGCCAGAGACACTGACTGCTTTTTAAATGAAAGGACAAGGAATGAGTATTTACTTGCAGGCCTAAAATGTTGACTGGTAAAAAATGAAGCCTTAACAGCATGAGATCTGAATTTAAAATGCCTTGGTGATACTGTTCAACTTATCTTACATCAGATGGTTTTTTGAAAGGTTTCCTGCACTTGTGACACCAAACACTCCAAGCCAGACTTCAAGAGCAAGAATTTTCTCTGACTCTTTCTAAACAGAACCCTCCAAACAGTCCACCACTCATCGCATTTAATCAAGTCAGTGAAGTATGTAGGAGGGAAAAATCGGATCATGATGACAATTAATAAGTCAGAGTACTAAATGAAAGCATTAGATGGTATTGGTTCTTGTACAAGGCATGCTCTTCAGCATTGGGGCAGGTTGAGATTTTCCCTTCCTGGGTGCCCAGGCTCCAGCAGGACTCAGGGCACATTGATCCTTCCTTGAGAATGGAAAGCTGGGCCACACTGCAGCTGAGAATGTGAGATCCAAGGCAGAATAGGCAAATATGAGGCTGACTTCTAGCAGGAAAGGGTAAAACCAGACTAAAAGCCTCTGCTTTTTGGATACCAACATTAAAATAATGTGGAAAAACAAAAGCAGATATTTTCCTGAGAGCAGGAAACCTCTCCATTTCTTGCTGAGGAAAGCTGAGAGTTCAGTTGCTTACACAGCTGTCTCCTGTTCTGTGGGGTGCCTGCCCCTAGGAAATAAAAAACTGTCATGAAATGCAGGAAGACAATGGCACAAATTCCTCTGTCCTGCTTGAACACACTCCTTCTAGGCTAACACTTTTTTACAGTGAGGGTGGTGAAAGACTGGAACAGGTTTCCCAGAGAGATGACATGTGCTCTGTTCCTGGAAACATTCAAGGTCAGGTGCTCTGAGCAACCTGATCCAGTTGAAGATGTCCCTGCTCATTGCAGGGGGCTCACACTAGATAGTCTTTAAAGGTCCCTTCCAACGTAAACTATTCTATGATTCTATGACTTCCCACAGCTGATGAGGGTATACAGTCTTCCTCCAAGGTAAATGAGCAGCTTCATTGCCCAGACAGCTTCATTCAGCTTTATTGTCCAGACACAGAGGAGCCTCTGTGTCCCCAGATGTAGGGACATGCCTTGGCTGTGCCCTGACCTTGCAAGTGAATAATACCCACCTCACAGTGACACCAGTCTGCACTCAAGTGAAGGAAAGCCAGGTGGGAGCCACCTCATCAGGGAAACAGGACTTTGATGTGCACTGTGGCAAGATGAAGCAAGTGAATAAGAAGTTGCTTTCAGGAACTTCACCAAGCCTCCAAACATGCTCCTCACACACTGACACTGAGGTTCAGTGGTGAGACTTCCCTACCTCACTTAGAGGTGCTCTGAGTCACCTTCACACTTGAGCCAGGTCTGGGATGGGATCTAGACCTCTTAAACTGGGATCTGGAATTGACTGCATCCTATTTCTGCCCTGTACTGTGGCTACAGATTGCCCAGTCCCATGGAGACAGGGCAAGGGAATTATTTTCCATCCAGACTGTCTAAGCCTGGGTATCCAGCAAAGAGAAAGGAAGGGAAAATTGAGGAAGCAAAGGCACCACAGCCTTTCCCAGCACGTGTGCATTTCTTAATCAAATGTCTTCAGCTAAAAAGCATCAGGAGCAGCAGTAAGAACCCGGGCCATCCCTTCTCCCAGAGAAGCAGATTCATGGCTACAGTCTCAGATGCCTTCTTATTTATTAGTCTCTCCCTTTTGGCTCCTAAAGTCCCAAGTCTCTTCAACCCTGAATCCCCAGTCATGCCAAGCACTTTGTTTGCCCACCCTGTACAATTTTGTCATGAAGACTTGTGTAGGCACTTTCAGATTTTCTGATATCCTGTAGCAAATAAATTAGAGCCAGAGTGGAATGTGAATTTGTGGAGGTAAATCACATAAAATGCAATTTTCTGGGAGGTCTCAAGCCTCCTTCAAAAAAAGGCAAGTAAGATGAATGCAAACTCTTTTGAGACTAAGGAGTGTAATGTATAGCATCAGAGAGGGGGACTAGAGCAATTTGCAGCACATAAGACTTCTGTGCTGAGTCTCTATTAAATGTAGTCTACAGAGGCAAATACTGTGCCCTTAACACCAGCATGCTCTGAAAACAGAGAACAAATGCAATGGTGTTAGATCTGAGCACTGACCCAGGGTTTCAAACTGTTCAGCAGACCAAAAGCACCAGCCACCCAGGAATTCTCATGGCAAATCAGAAACTGCCTTAATTCAGGATCCAAAGATTACAGTCTTGAACAAAATGCAGCTTTTCCTTGTCCAAGCCAAGTCTTTAGGAAAGACAGAAAGAAAAGAAAAAGAGGAGGGAAATTCAATTTTGTGGCACTTGGTTATTACAGATCAGATGGCATAATAAGATTATTCACTGATGCCAGTCCAAAATGCATGATGCCACTCTGAGAAACCTGGTCTAGTGGAAGATATCCCTGCCCACAGGAAGGTCTTGGAAGCAGATGATCCTTAAGACCCTTCCAACCCAGACCATTCTATGATTCTGTGATCTGGACTGAGTTGCTGGCATGTCCAATGCCTTCTGGAAGATCTTGAGGGAATCACAATGGGTTAAGATTTCATCTAAGGGGATTTTGAGGATTACATTTTTCATGTAAACTATGCAGATTTAGTGGCTTTGGTAAGTGAAAGCAGTCATGAATTCAGAGATAACTTTCATGTGTGTTACTGGAAAATCTGAACATCATGTTAAACACTGAAGCGTGT